AGAGGTGTGTGACCGGATGGTGGCTGCACGAGGTCACGGCCAGCTGACGCTCCCCACTTCCCCGTCTGCTTCCCCAGGCCCCGCGGCCCGCCCAAGTTCAGTGTTAGCTTTTCCAAGCGAGAGTCTCCTCTTTGTTAACTCTTCCTATAGACGCAGTGGGCAGAACTTGCCCAAAGAAGAAGAGGGGACTGGAGGGTCTGGTAAAGGAATCGTGGGGTAAGGAAGGAACTGACTGCAAGTGGGCTGCATTCGGGATGCAGCAGGAAACCGATCTGTCCATTTGGTTTAGCAAGGAACCATGTCTGGGGCAGGCCAAGCTGAAGGAAATGCGAACATTTTGCTCCAAGGAGATCCTTGATCCTGCGTGAATCAGATCTAGCGCACAGTTTATTTGATTTATAGATCCTGGTGGCGCAGAATGATCCCTGGTGGCACGGTGGTTAAGCCCAGGGCTGCTAATGGAAAGGTGAGTGGTTTGAACCCACCAGCCAGCCGCTTGGCTGGAGAAAGATTACTGCCTTGGAAACCCTATGGGGCAGTTCTACTCTTTCCTGTAGGGTCACTGTGAGTCAGAATCGACTGGATGGCAACAGGTTCTGGTGGTGAAAGCGGTTTGCACTTGACTACTAACCGAAAGGTTGGTAGTTCAAACCCACCCAGCAGCACAGTGGAAGAAAGGCCTGGTGATCTGCTTCTTTAAAGATTACAGCCAAGAAAACCCTATGGAGTATTCTACTCTGTAGCACATGGCGTTACCATCAGTCAGAATCGCCTCAGCAGTAACGGGCTCTTTGATTTGAACCTCTCTGAGCACCTCAGGCAGGTCACCCATTCACCTCTGGACTCTAAGTCTCTTTCCGATCAATCCCTGAGGCAGGAATAGATCAATTGTCACATGCTTTTTTTTTTTTTTTTGCTAGAAGAAAACCCCAAGCATTTATTTAAAACACGAAAAACTATAAAAAGCAAATAATCTTTTCTGTGAACAAATGCCTCCTCTGACATTAAGAAATGACACACCTTGACTGGTGTTATTGTGCTGCCTTGAAAATTGTATTTCACTTCCAAAACCACACCAAATCTCTTGCCATTCAGCTGATTCCGACTCACAGTGACCCTATGGGACAGAGTAGAATTGCCCCATAGGGTTTCCAAGGAGCAGCTGGTGGATTTAAACTGCAGTCTTTTTGGTTAGCAGCCGAGCTCTTAACAGCTGAGCCACCCAGGCTCCATATTTCACTACGGAAATTACTAAATATGGAGAAATACTTTTTACAAGGTGTTGGCTGACTGGCGCCCTGAAATAATAGGGTGTTATTTTAGTCCCTCGGGAGAAAGATGTGGCAGTCTGCTTCAGTCCATAAAGATTACAGCCTTGGAAACCCTATGGGGCAGTTCTGTGTTCTGTAGGGTCGCTATGAGTTGGAAGTGACTTGATGGCAACGGGGTTGGTTTGGTTTTTGGTATTTTAGTCCATGGAGTCCCTGGGTGGTGCAAATGTTAAGCACTTGGCTGCTAACCAAAAGGTTGGAGGATTGAGTCCACCCAGAAAGGGCCACGGAAGAAAGGCCTGGTGATCTATTTCCGAAAATTCAGCCATTGAAAAGCCTATGGGGCTCAGTTCTACTGTGACACACATGGGGTCACCATGAGTTGGAATGGACTCAGTGGCAACTGATACTGGATATTTTAGTCCATATTTGATAATGCTGAGGAAGAGATCTAGATAGACAAGATCCGTCCTGCTAGGGTACCGGGCAAATGGACCACAGTCCAGGTGACAGTCACTAGTGAAATGATCCACACACTCACAAAAAAGGCTAAATGTCATGGAGGATAGATGATGTTGTGAGTTGCTGAGGAGTTGATTCCAACTCATGGTGACCCCATGTGTGCAGAGTAGAAGCACTCCATAGGATTTTCAAGGCTGTGACCTATTGGAAGCAGATGGCCAGGCCTGTCTTCCAAGGCACCTCTGTGCAGGTTAGAAGTGCCAACCTTTTGGCTAGTAGTCTAGTGCTTAACGTTTGTGCCACCCAGGGACTCCTGGAGATGGGATTGTTGTTGCTGTTAGGTGATGTTGAGTCAGTTCCGACCCACAGCGACCCTGTATACAACAGAACGAAATACTGCCTGGTCCTGCGCCATCCTTACAGTCGTTACGCTTGAGCTCATTGTTGCAACCACTGTGTCAGTCCATCTTGTTGAGGGTCTTCCTCTCATTTGATGGCCCTCTACTTTACCAAACATGATGCCCTTCTCCAGGGACTGGTCCCTCCTGATACCATGTCCCAAGTATGTGAGACAAAGTGTCACCATCTTGCCTCTAAGGAGCATTCTGGTTGTACTTCTTCCAAGACAGATTTGTTCCTTCTTCTGGCAGTCCATCGTATATTCAATATTCTTCACCAACACCGTAATTCAAAGGCGTCAGTTCTTCCATCTTCCTTATTCATTGTCCAGTTTTCTAATGCCTATGGGGCGATTGAAAACACCATAGGGGGATGGGATAGCTGTCTTCAAATCTCTCAGCTCCCTGTCCCTCCTCTCCCAACCCCCAAATGGGCCTGCAGCTTCCTTCATCCTTCTCACTTGCCTGCCAGCTGGAGGGACAGGAGCCTTCTCCTGGACCATCACCACTGTTTTTTCTGTAGTTTGGACTCCATCCCCACTGGCCTCCTTAGCCCCTTAGTCCGCTAGGCCCTTCTATTTGCTTTGTCTCCTGCCCCTTTCCTCCCATCCGCTCGCACTTCTCCATATCAAATGCATACATTTCTCTCACCTTGAGAAAATGTCTATCACGGGTCACACACTTTTTTTTGAACATTTTATTGTGCTTTAGGTGAAAGTTTACAGAGCATATTGGTTACCCATTCGAAAAATTTATATACACATTGTTTCTTGACATCGGTTGCATCACATACTTTTGATAGTATGAAGCAGGCCGTAGCCTCACCACACTCCAGCAGGTGCTAATGCAAAAGGGTCAGGAAGTTTTTTGTGGGTGTGCGTTTTAAAAACTTCCCACATAATTATACTTATTCTCACAGCACTTGCTTGCGTTATTATATCTTGCTAGTTTTGTAGGTTGGAGACTTTGAGGCACAAAGAAGCCAAGTGACATGCTTCAAATCAGAGCCTAAGGAAGAGCAGTGACACATGTTCAGTACCTACTGTGTTAGGCACAGTCATATGAACTCATTTAATTCTCATCGCAACCTAGAAAGGTAGGTATCATCATCCTATTTTTATAGACGGTGACCCTGAGATTCATAGAGGTTAAGTAACTTGCCCAAGGTCACGTAGCTAGTGGGAGGCAGAGCTGGGATTAGAACAGGGCTCCAAAGCCCATGCTCTTAACTATTACAGCTTGTTGTCTTTTACTGGGGGTGGGTGGGTGAGGGTGTGCAGGTACCATTAATGACTGAACTCTGGGTCAGCTAAAATATCTTCTGTTAGAAATTTGAAACCCCCCCCAAAATGCTTACATGATGTGACAGTTACTTTCTTTAAAAGCAAACAAACAAAAAAGCAAAAAAACCCAAACCCGTTGCCGTCGAGTCGATTCTGACTTACAGTGACCCTATAGGACAGAGTAGAACTGCGCCATAGGGTTTCTAAGGAGTGGCTGGTGGATTCAAACTGCCGACCTTTTGGTTAGCAGCCGAGTTCTTAACCACTGCACCACCGGGGCTCCTCACCATTGCTATTGAGTCAATTCTACTCATGGCCACCCTATAGGACAGAGTAGAACTGCCCCATAGGGTTTCCAAGGAGTGGTTGGCAGATTTGAACTGCCAACCTTTTGGTTAGCAGCCAGTCTCTCAACCAGTACACCACCCGGGCTCCTACACTACTTTCTTTAGTACTTTATAATCATACAAAATGAGGTATGGGCTAAATATTAAAGCACCTGTATCAGTATCCTCTAAATTACTGTAGATCATGGCATACAGTGGTACTAGAGAGTGCCCTGGAGGAATCTTTGTTAACAAATTGTTTTAATTAGCTAGTGCTCCTGTAACACAAATATCACAAGTGGGTTGTTTTAAAGAACAGAACTTTATTCTCTCACAGTTCTGAAGGCTAAAAGTCCAAATCAGTGTCTCAGCTGTGTTGATTCCTTCCTTGTTCCCGGGTTTTCCTTGGTGCTTGTAGATCCTCACATGGCACCTGTGTTAGGCCAGTATGTGCTCTCATCTGTGTCTAATCTGCTCTGTTCTTTTTATAACTCAGAAGTGATTAGGTTTAAGCCACACCCTTCACTGATATGGATTCATTAGCATAACAAAGAAACCCCTGTTTCCAAACAGGATTAAATGCACAAGGGTTAAGATTCCAACACATATTTTTGAGGGACACAATTCAATTCATAATACAAATTCATTGCCTACACTGGACTTCTAAATATTTATCATTCTGAATTTAAGTATAATTTAGCATTGGGATGAAATCCAAGGCCAAGGCTAAAACCCAAAACCTATTGCCATCGAGTTGAATCGGATTCATATTTCACAACAGGTCAGTGCGGTGTCGGGCAAGTCCATTCAGGAGTCCTGGGTATTTAAAAAAGGTGCTGACACAGCAGTGGACAGACACCATAAGGTAGATAGGTAAAAGACGGAGTCCTGTGTTGGAGGAAGAGGGATCCCTCCTCTTTCCAAAGTGAGGCCCTCTGCTTACGTTCTCAGACTCATTCATTCTAACTTCTTCCAGCTTTTGCCTCATAGTTACTCCCAGTACTCCCTCCCCATGCTGCCCTGCTTCTTCAGTTTGGCCATCGCCACTGAGTTCCATACTGTCTTTAAACGTATCAAGGCAGTTATAACTAACACTTACTGAGCTTTTGCCAGGTACCGGACGCTGTGCTAAGAGCTTTACAAACATGAACTCTGTTTAATCCTCTGCTAAGTACTTTAATCTTTATTGAGGAATAAGTCACATAAAATATAATTAACCAATTTTAAGTGGACACTGTGATGATTTGTTTCTCCATTCCCCTCTCTCCCCATCCCCTGGTAACCACCAGTCTTTTTTCTTTCGTCTCAGTGGATTTAGCTATAAACTAAAAAAAAACTAAACCTGTTGCCGTCGAGTGGATTCCGACTTAAAATAGTGACCCTGTAGGAGAGAGTAGAACTGCCCCCATAGGATTTCCAAGGAGCGGCTGGTGGATTCAAACTGCAGACCTTTTGGTTAGCAGACGAGCTCTTAACCACTGCACCACCAGGGCTCCATGTATACACACGTTTAAAATATATGTGTATGCTATGTATGTGTGTGTGATAAGGCTTGTGAGTATATTTACTGTTTCCTGTGTGTTCTTAGAAAGGTGCGGTTTTCAGTTTTTGGGGTTCGGTAATATTCAAGCACCTACAGCACTGCATCTGTTTGTTGAAACATCTCAACTGGTATTCCCTCAATTTCTGGGGCCTTGTTTTTCACCAATGCCTTCAGTGCAGCTTAGACTTCTTCCTTCAGTACTATCAGTTTTTGATCATACGCTACCTCTTGAAATGTTTGATCATCGATTAATTCTTACTGGTACAGTGACTGTGTATTCCTTCCATCTAGGAACTATATAGTATATAAAAAACCCAAACCCGTTGCCATCAAGTCCATTCCGATTCATAGTGACCCTATAGGACAGAGTAGAACTGTCCCATGGGGTTTCCAAGGAGCAGCTGGTGGATTTGAACGGCCGACCTTTTGGTTAGCAGCCGTAGCTTTTAACCACTGTGCCACCAGCGTTTTTAAATGAATGAAGGTGTTAGGAGTTGTGCCTTCATCTCCCAACTTGTGTATGTCCAATATTTTCATGCAGATGAATTTCAGTGTGTTTCTTTGGTTGGCAGGTGTTAAGAGAAGAGTCATTTTGTGGTCCCAATGCACAGCCCGAGACAGTTTCTCTCCAGGGTGGGTCTTGTCTCCAAATCAGGATTGCTTCCCTGGTGTGCCAGAAAACCACCAGGTTGGTCACAGCCCTTTTTGAGCACAGCAAGTGGGGGAAATTTCACCCACTTGGCAGCCAAGAAGTATCAGAGAGGACAAGAAAGTCAGAAGAAACCAAGCCAAGATCTTGGACCGCTAGATGCTTCCTGGCAAGAAAGGTAAGGCCCAGGTTGATGTCCTTTCCTTTTAGCAAGGCTGAATCTGTGGACCTACTGAAATTCTGTATTCCTAATGTAACTAATGTGACATTACAAGGATTCATGACGGCCCCTAAGGTTATATATATATTTAAAAAAAAAAGCCAAACCCGTTGCTGTTGAGTTGATTCCAACTCAGAGTGACCCTATATATATCCAGGGCAAACTTGAGAACATCTAAAGAATGTTGGTGAAAATGCTTTGGGATTGCAGAAAATGTTCTCCTTGCCTATAAGTGTATTTTTCGCAGAAAGGAGATATTAAATTGGGACCTTGTCCCTAAAAGATCCTGGGCAGTTACGCTGACCACCAGGGACACAGAGAGATGTTAGTTAGATTAGAAATGAATAGTCCCATAACAGCCATGCAAACACGGATATACCTCATTTTATGCAACAAATGTATTTTCTAAATCTAATTATATTTTAAAAGCATTAGGGAGGTGAGCTATTTAAAGGAATCCAGCAATGAAGCCTTTTGAAATATAATTAATTACCTCCTGATAAATCTGGGTTTTTCTTATATTAGGTTTTCCCATCTGTTCTCCTTTGTTAAGTAGACAGCACCAAAACGTGCTCTTCTCCCAGACACTTATCTCCCTAGGGGCATGAGAGTTAGTTCTTCTGAATGATAAGAAGAATGCCAGAGAAAATGGTGACAGAAGTACTTGCATACAGCAGGTGCTCAGTATATATGTATATAATCAATGAAGTACCTGAATTATTTTATTCAAGACTGGCTGATGCTGTGACGCCACTCTGGAGGCTGAGCTATGAAGAACAGCTCAAGGTAGGTGCCCAGCTTAAGTCTTCACCACCCTACTCTAGCAGGGGAATGGTGCTGGACTAATAGGAAGCTCTATCCAGATGCCTCAGCAGGTCCTAAAACTCAGCATGCTAATGACTCCCAAATTTTAACTTTTGACCAATTGTGTCTTGCATACTGTAGACCCACATACTCAAATGCCTGTTTGCTTTCTTCCTTGCTTTTTTCTAATTCTCACTGTATGTGTGTGAGTAGCAGTGCGCTTGCTGTTTTATATATAGCTGTACTTTCCAACACTGCAGCCACTAGCCGCATGTGGCTATTTAAATTTAAATACAGTCAGTTATGCTATAATGCTTGTTTTGAAAATGGGAATTTGTTCCAACGGAGTGATATATTAGGGAACAATTTGGGCATCAAGCGAATTTTGCATTTGCTTAGTGATTTCATCTGAGAGAACACCAGCTCCTTCAGTTCACCAAGGGTGTTATTAGCCACACCCATCCACATCTGGTGTCAACTTTCTGTCTGATTCAGATAACCCTCCTTTTACCACTTCAAGATAACTCACAAACTGCAACCCTTCTGACGCCCACTTCCACATGCCAGCTTCATGTCTTTGTCAGGTGAAGTGCCATGTTTACTGTAGTTTTATATATTTTGTAACCATTTAACATGTGCCAAACTGCACCACTGTTTTTATTAGGTTCCTCTCTTTTGTGTGTGTTACAGATTTCTTTATGTATATAATTTTATTTATTTTGTTGTTCTTGAGAATGTACAGAGCAAAACATACACCAATTCAACAGTTTCTACATGTACCATTTAGTAACATTTATTACGTTCAAGTTGTGTAACCATTCTCACCCTCCTTTTCTGAGTTATTCCTCCCCCATTAGTCCCCTAAGATTCCTGTCCAATCTTTCAAGTTACTGTTGTCAACTTGAGCCCATATAGATAGTTCTTAAAAGAGCATAATGCTCAAGGCAGACATTTTTTACTAGTTAAGCTAAATTATTGTTTGGTTTTAGGAAGACTTCAGGAGGTATTTTTGGTTTAAAGTTTAAAGATTATCTCATGGCAATAGTTTCAGGAGTTCATTGAACCTTTATGGCTCTAGGAAATCTGGAGTTTTTGAGAATATGAAATTCTGTTCTACATTTCCCCCCTTTTGATCAGGATTCTTCTATAGAACCTTTGATCAAAATTTTCAGTAATGCTAACCAGGCACTATCCAGTTCTTCTGGTCTCATGGCAGAGAGGGAAGTTGTTCATGGAGGCAATTAGCCACACATTCCACATCCTCCTCCTTTTCCTGACTCTCCTTTCTCCTCTGTTCCAAGGAAATAGTCCAATTGTTGTCTTTTGGCTGGCTGCTTGCAACCTTTTAAGACCCCAGACACTATGCATTGAACTAGGAGGTAGAACAGAAGCACTAAACACATTATTAGGCCAGTTAACTGGGATGTCCCATGAAATCATGACCCTAAACCTCCAAACCAAGAAACCAAATCCCGTGAGGTATTTGGTTGTACATAAGCAGCCTCAGCAGCTACTCTTTTTTTTTTGTCGTTGTTATAAATATATCTATTACATAACTTTTGCTAGTTCAACTTTTTACAGGTGTACAACTTATTGACTACAATTACAATAATCAGCTGTGTAACCCTACCCTTAATCAATGAGATATTTCCATCACCGTTAAACACCTCCCCCCCCACCCCAGTTCCCTTCCGCCCCTGGTAACCACTAATAAACTTTGTTGTCTATACATTTGCCTTTTCTTGTCTTTTTATGTAAGTGAGGTCATACAATATTTGTCCTTTTGTGATTGACTTATTTCACTCAGCATAATGTCTTCAAGCTCCATCCATACTGTAGGTGTATCAAGAGTTCATTTCTCCTTCTGGCCAAGTAGTATTCCATTGTATGTATGTGCCACATTTTGTTTATCCATTCATCTGTTGATGGGCATTTTAGGTTGTTTCCACCTTTTGGCTATTGTGAATAGTTCTGCAATGAACATTGATATAGAAGTCTCTGTTTGAGTTTCTCCTTTCAAGTCTTTTGGGTATATAACTAGGAGTGGAATTGCTGGGTCATATGGTAGTTCGGCAGTTCGAATCCACCAGCCGCTCTTTGAAACCCTATGGGAAAGTTCTGCTCTGTCCTATAGGGTCACTATGAGTCAGAATTGACTCGATGGCAGTGGGTTTGGTTTTTTTGGTTTGGATGGTAGTTCTATTTTTAATTTTTTGAGGAACTGCCATACTGTTTTCCATAACTGCTGTACCATTTTGCATTCCCATCAGCAATGGATAAGGGTTCCAATTTCCTCACATCCTCACCAGCATTTATTATTTTCTGCTTTTTTTTTTTTAATGTTAGCTATTCTAGTGGAAGTGAAGTGGTATTTCATTGTGGTTTTGATTTATATCTCTTTGATGGCTAATGATGCTGAGCATATTTTCATGTGTCTGGTGGCCATTTGAATGTCCTCTTTGGTGAAATGTCTATTCAAGTCCTTTGCTCATTTTACAATTGGGTTGTCTTTTTGTAGTTAAGTTGTAGAAAGTTTTGTATATATCTTGGTTATTAGATTGTTTTGAGGTATATGGTTTCCAAAGATATTTTCCCAGTTGGTAGCTTGTCTTTTCACTTTTTTGGTAAAGTCTTTCGATGAACATTTTAACTTTTACAAGGTCCCATTTATTTATTTTTTCTTTTACTGTTTGTGCTTTTGTTATTGTCTTTGATAATCTGTTGTTAAAAGCTAGGCCTGACAACGTTGCCCCTGCTTTTTCTTCTAAGAATTTTATGGTTTTAGTTTTCACATTTAGTCCTTAATCTTTTTGAATTTCTTTTTGTGTGTGGTATAAGGCATGGATCCTGTTTCATTTTTCTGCATGTGGAAATCCAACTTTCCCAGCACCATTTATTGAAGAGACTCTTCTTTCCCCATCGAGTGGACTTAGCACTCTTGTCAAAAAAATCAGATGTATAGGTTTATTTCTGGACTCTTAATTCTATTCCATTGGTCTATGTGTCTGTCGTTATACCAGTACTAGGCTATTTTGATTACTTTAGCTGTGTAGTATGTTTTAAAATCAGGAAGTGTGAGTCCTCCTACTTTGTTCTTCTGTTTCAACATTGCTTTAGCTCTTTGGGGTCCCTTGCCATTCTGTATAAAGTTGAGGATTGGTTTTTCTATTTCTGTTAAGAAGGCTGTTTGAATTTATATTGGGATTGTGTTGAATCTATAGATTGCTTTGAGTAGTATTGACATCTTAACAGCATTAAGTCTTCCAGTCCATGAACATGGAACATCTTTCCATTTATTTAAGTCTGCTTTAATCTCTTTCAGCAGTGTTTTATAGTTTTCATTGTATAAGTCCTTCACATTCCTGGTTAGATTTATTCCTAGGTATTTTATTCTCTTAGATGCTATTGTAAATGGATTGTTTCCCTAATTTCTCTTTCAAATTTCTCACTGCTCTGTATAGAAACCCAACCTATTTTTGTTTGTTGACCTTGTACCCTGCAACTTTGCTAAATTCCTCTATTAGCTCTGAAAGTTTTCTTGTGGACTCATTGGGATTTTCTATATATAGGATCATATCATCTGTGAATAGAAATAATTTTGCTTCCTCTTTTCCAATCTAGATACCTTTTATTTCTTTTTCTTGTTGTATTCCTCTGGCTAGGATTTCTAATACAGTATTGAATAGAAGTGGTGGGAGTGGGCACCCTTGTCTTGTTCCCGATTTTAAAGGGAAAGTAACTGATGGTTTTGAATATTGTATGTCTGTCTTAGTTATTTAGTGCTGTTACAACAGAAATACCACAAGTGGGTGAGTTTAACGAACAAATTTATTTTCTCATAGTTAGGAGCCTAGAAGTTCAAATTCAAGGCACTGGCTCTAGGGGAAAGCTTTCTTTCTTTGTTTACTTTGCAGGGAAGGTCCTTGTCTCTTTTCAGCTTCTGTTCCTCAGTTCCTTGGTGATCCCCACCTGGCATCAGTCTTCCCGCTTTGTCCTTGCTTGCTCTTGTACCTAAGCTGCTCCTTTTATATCTCAAAAGTGATTGGCGTAAGACACACCCTACACTGATGTAGCCTCATTAACATAACAAAACCTTATTCCCAGATGGGATTATATCCATATGTATTGTTGTTATGTTACGTGCCTTCTAGTCTATTTTCGACTCATAGTGACCTAGTATGACATAGTAGAAGTGCCCCATAGGGTTTTCTAGGTTGCAGTCTTTATGGAAGTATTGAACTTATTAAGGGTTTCATTTTACTTGGATCCACAATCAACACCTATGGAAGCAGCAGTCAAGAAATCAAACGGCATATTGCATTGGGCAAATCTGTTGCAAAAGACCTCTTTAAAGTGTTAAAAAGCAAAGGTGCCACTTTAAGGACTAAGGTGTGCTTGACCCAGGCCATGGTATTTTCAGTCATCTTATATGCATGTGAAAGCTGAACAGTGAATAAGGAAGACCGAAGAAGAATTGACACATTTGAGTTATGGTGTTGGCGAAGAATATTGACTATACCACGGACTGCTAGAAAGTCCAACAAAACTATCTGTCTTGTAAGAAGGACAGCCAGAATGTTCCTTAGAAGCAAGGATGGCAAGACTTTGTCTCACTTACTTTGGACGTGTTATCAGGAAGGACCAATCCTTGGAGAAGGACATCATGCTTGGTGAAGTAGAGGGTCAGTGAAAAAGGAAGACCCTCAACAAGATGGATTGACACAGTGGCTATAACAATGGGCTCAAGCACAGGAATGAATATCAGGATGGTGCAGGACTGGACAACATTTCATTCTGTTATATATGGGGTCTCCATCAGTTGGAACTGACACCATGGCACCTAACAACAACAACAATCTTTACGGGAGCAGAATGTCAGGTCTTTTCTTTTGAGGAGCTGCTGGGTGGATTTGAACTGCCACCCTTTTGGTTAGCAGCCTAGTGGTTAACTGTTGTACCACTAGGGCTCCTTATCCACATGTATAGTGGTTAGGATTTACAACACATATTTTTGGAGGATACAGTTCAATCCATAACAATGTGTAACCCTATTTTTCCCATAGTTCCTGTGATTTTTTTTTATTTGCATGAAGTTTTGCATAGTGTGGTGATTTTTAGGAATGCTCATGTCACGTTATAGCAGAGAAGACTGTATAAGTGAATTAAAATTAAATAAAATTAAGAATTCAGCTCCTTAGTCACACTAGCCACATTTCAGGTCCTCAGTAGCCACATGCAGCTAGTGGTTACCATATTAGATAGCACAGACATAGAACATTTCCTTTATCACAGAAAGTTCTACTGGACAGCACTGATACATAGCTTCACTGTTCAGTCTGAAAGGTCAGATAAAATGATGAACTTCCACAAAAGCTCACTCTTAACCTTTCCCTGATACCTTATTAGGTCTGTTCCTGTTCCATCATTCTGGATTCCTTATCTGCTGAGACCATGACCCAAGAATTTTTGGAGCATCTTTCTCTTTTCCTATTTGTTTTCCATTCTTTGAAGTGACAGCTGCAAAAGCCTTTTGTTTCATTACTTACACACACACATATTTAATTTTGGAGTCTGTTTATTTGGTCTACTTTAGAGCATTTGAAGTATTTTTTTTGTCGTCTGATTTTTTAATTGTGGTAAATATATGTGTAACAAATAATTTGCCTTTTCAACATTCTTTACATGTCCAATTCAGAGACATTAGTTATGTTTATCGTATTGTTCAACCATTACCATTATCTGTTTCCAAATTTTCTCATTTGCTTATATTTTTTTGCAGGTGAAATTTGAAGCTCAGAGGAAAATTTTACAAAGACTAGAGTCTTACCTCCAAATGCTCAATGGAGTCAACATGACAACAGCCACACCCAAATCTGAGGGACTCTCTTGCATTCTCCTTCCTATTATACCTTCTGTAAGCCCCTACCTCCCTATTCTTTACCTACTAAGCCCAAGGTTATACATCTGGAAAGTTCTAGAGCTGAGGTTTACACTCAGGTCTATCTGATGCAAAGACTACTTTTTCAACCACTACATTACTGCCTCCTTAGAAAGATTCCAGACTTTGAAAACCTTCTTAATGAAGCCCTAGAGAGTCAGAGTTTCATTTATGGCAGGAGTTGGCAAACTATGGCTCTTAAGCCAAATCTGTCCCACTGCCTTATTTTGTAAATGAAGTTTTATTGGAGCACTGCCAAGCTCACTTGTTTATATATTGTCTGTGGCTGCTTTCAGGAGTCTCTGGGTGGCGCAAAGCGTTAAGTGCTCAACTAGTAACTGAAAGGTTGGTGGTTCCAACCCACCCAGAGGTTCCTTGGAAGAAAGACCTGGTGATCTGCTTCTGAAAGGTCACAGTCATTGAAAACCTCATGGAAGGCAGTTCTACTCTGCAACACATGGGGTCACCATGAGTCAGAATCAACTGAACAGCAACTAGTTATGGCTGCTTTTGTACTACAAGGGCAGGGTTGAGTGGTTGCAGCAGGGACCATATGGCCTGCAAAGCCTAAAATATTTACTGTCTGGCCTTTTACAGAAAAGGTTTCCTGACTCCTGCTTTATGGCAAGATTACAACTCCTTTTCACTCATCGTCTCTGTAGTGTCTTGATCCTCTCAGCCATGGACTTTCACATCTGCCATACCTTCCAAGCAAGGATCGTTTGTTCTTATGCAGAGACCCGTCGCAGTTGAGTCGATTCTGACTCATAGCGACCCTACAGGACAGAGTAGAACTGCCACATAGGGTTTTCAAGGAGCGGCTGGTGGATTGAACTGCTGACCTTTTTGGTCAGCAGCCGAGCCCTTAACCACTGTGCCACCTATGGGCTCCTATGCAGAGAATATTCCTACTTTTCTTTTATTGTTGTCCTTTTTGGCTTCATTTGACTTGTTCTTCCCCCTCTGTCCTCTCCAGCCTGTCATCAGTGGTTATCGAAATAAGTCCACCTTCTCTGTGAACCGAGGCCCAGATGGCAATTCAAAGACCGTGGGATACTACGTGGGGACTTGGAGAGGTCAGTTGAAGGCCGTGACTAGTAGAAATAACAAGCCAAGGACTGAGGAAAGGGAAGAGCTCAGAGAACAGTGTCAGCGGGAGTGGTAACCCATAACCCGCTGTCGTCGAGTTGATTCCAACTCATAGCGACCCTATAGGACACAGTAGAACTGCCCCATAGAGTTTCCATAGGGTTTATGGGGCAGTTCTACTCTGTCCTGTAGGGTCGCTTTGAGTCAGAATTGACTCGATGGCAGTGGGCATAGGGTTTCAAAGGCTGTAATCTTTATGGAAGCAGACTGCCGCATCTGCAGAATGGCTGGTGGGTTCGAGCCTCTAACGTTTTGGTTAGTGACCAAGCGCTTTACCAGCGCACCACCAGAGTTCCCTAGCAGGAGTGGAGAGGAGTAGAAAAAATGGTGTTCTTAAAGGAGAAGGTTGAATTGGATGTCTCATGCAGAACATGATCACAATTGTGGATCCTTTTTGGTGGGTAGTGATTGTAACAGTGATAAAAATCAAAACCCTCGCCCTTTCTTCCTCTTAAGTCCATATGCCTGATCTATAGTGAGCACGTAGTAAATGTTAGCATTGCTGCTGCTGCTATCTCTTCATTGTTGTCGTTGTCATCATCATTTTATGCTACTTTCCATATTTGGAGCAGTCTCCTCATTCCAGTGTGACCTTTTCCATTTCGCATCCCCTATCCCTGAACACTAGAGCTTCCTGTGATAAATCTGCCTTAAAAGAATTAGTGGGGGAGGTGAGTGCTGGTGAGGGAAATTACTGTGCATATTTCTAAGACTTCATTCCAGTATCCATTCCCAGATTCCATTCCTGAACTTACTGTTTGCCCATTTTCAATAAACCCACTTGAAACACCATCATTTTATAATTAGTCACACTGTTTAATATCCATATGCCTTAAACTACAGTTCATTAGGGCAGGTGCTTGGGGTTTTATTTCCCCCTGTGTGCTGAGTTAAATGAGTACATGACGTCAGTGTTCTGTTATTCAGTAATAGAAAAACAAAGCCCATTACATCTTATTTGCCTCTTAAAATCAGAACAGAAAGCAGACGTTGTTATATTGCGCATTCGTGGCACGAGAGAAAACACTGAGGACTAGCCCCATCAAGAAGTCTATTCTTAACGGCTAGACCAGGAAACAGGTTTTCTCTGACAAATAGCTTGAATCAGGTACTTTGTTATCTTGATGTCTGCATTGAAGGAGGGAATTTGAGTTGCCAGATATTTTCTCTGAGATAATCTTTTAAGAAGAAAACCATATAAATCAAATTTCTTTTTCTTTCCATAGACAGGAACATCGTCTGTGTACACTCTCACCGTCTGAAAAATATCCCTGAGAAACACAATCAAGTGGCGCAGGTAAAAGCAACAAGGGCTGGTTGATGATGACCCAGGGCATTGCAGCCTGTAACAGCAGCGTCCCTGACATTTTAATAATAGAGCCGCTTCTAGTGCTAGAAGAGAGGAGGGCTCTGTACTGAAAGCATACCTCTTAACTTGGAGAGAACATATTGCCAGTGTTTCATTTCAGGGAGAGTGGAGGAGAGGAATGAGAGCTGTACCCATTATTGTAAATGTCAGGCATCCATGGCATTTAATAGTGGGGAAGCATTAGGAAAGAGAGGTACTGCTGAGGACAATATAGCAGTGTCAGGTGTCTGAAATATTTGGAAGGCTAGTGTTTTCACCAGAGTCCCTGGATGGCGTGAACAGTTAAGCACTCAACAACTAACCAAAAAGTTAGCAGTTTGAACCCACACAGAGGTGCTTCAGAAGACAGACCTGGTGCTCTGCTTCCAAAAGGTCACACAGCCTGGAAAACTCTATGAAGCACAGTTCTACTTTGCAACACATGGGGTCGCCTAGGTGGGAATCGACTCCCTGGCAACTGGTTTGGTTTTTTGGTTGGAGTGTTTTAGGCAGAACAGAATTGAGAAACATCATGAGAGGTATAGGAGTGATGTTAAGGTGTCTACACTGTGGGTTGGCTTCTGAGACATTTTTATATCCTTCTGTTTCATGCAGCCACTATTTATTGAGTGCTTATTATGTGTCAGGCACTGTGCTAAGTGTTGAGGATACAATGGTGACTGAAACAGACATGGTCCCTGCCCTCAAAACAAAAACAAAGCAGCAGCCTTACTACCTTATCAAACTGAGGATTGAACAGGACGGCAACTGAACAGTCTTGTTCCCTGTTAATTCTCACCAGCATCCACCCTCCTACTGTTGCAGGTTTCTAATATTTGGATGGTGCCTTCTGATAGGACACATCTTGAGCTCCAAAGTTTCCCTATTATAACACAACTCCCTTTCTAGGACCTCTCTCCAGGAATCTTCCTACATGGTCCTCATTAGCCTCTTCTCCCATTCTCTTTAGTGACTATTCTAATCTCTTACCTCACTCCTCAAGTTTGCTACCCCTACACCTTTACCCTTGCTCTTGGCAAATGACCATGCCTCATTCTTTTTTTTTTAATTTATGTTATTTGTTGTTGCTGTTGAGAATATACACAGCAGAACATACACCAGTTCAACAATTTCTCCAAGAAAAATTCAGTGACATTGGTTACATTCTTGAAGTGATGCAACAATTCTCACCCTCCATTTCTGAATTGTTCTTCGCCCATGAACATGAAATCACTGTCCCCTAAGGTTCCTATCTAATCTTTTGAGTTGCAGTTGTCAATTTGATCCCATATAGATAGTTCTTAAAAGAGCACATTGCTCAAGGACCATGCCTCATTTTTCACTGAAAAATTAAGGCCATCAGATGAAAACTTCTTAGCTGCTTCTCCTACCATCTGTAAGTTTAGTTGAAATCTTGCCTCTTATTCCCGCCTATCTCAGTGGGGAAAGAGGTGGTTTGTTCTTCTCCATACAAGGCTTTTTCTGCTCCCTGTTTGGACTCATACCTTTCTACCTTCCCAGGTTCCTTGCTCCTTCATTATAATACCCTCTTTCTGCTGTTTCCTTACCCCCTTCTCTCCCGCCTTTATTGCTTCCTTTCTTTCAGTTCATAAACATATTAAATATCTTTCATCTTTAAAAACAATTTGATTGTTCTTCTCCTGCCAACACTCCATAGAAATTGATCTTGCCAAGGTCATCAGTGACATTGATTTTGCCAAATCCAATGGAAACTTTCTGTCCCTAACTTATTCATCCTTTGTCTGCTGTTGGCACCATTTATTATTCTTATTCCCTCCTTGAAACACCATCTCCATTTGGTTTCTGTGATACTAGTCTTTCATGTTTTTCCTCCTATTTCTCTGGCCACTTCTTAGTTTTTTTATCATGGGATATTTTTATTCTCCCTTTTCCTACTATAAATGTTGGTGTCCCTTAGGACTCTGTCCTTGACCCTTTTCTTCCAGAATATATTCATGTGAGATCACACCCAATCACAGCTAACGATTTGAATGACCACCTAAAAATCGTTGTTGTTAGGTGCTGTCGAGTCAATTCCCACTCATAGCGACCCTATAGGACAGAGTAGAACTGCCTCATAGGTTTCCTAGGCTATAATCTTTATGGGAGCAGATTGCCAGGTCTTTCTTACATGGAGCTGCTAGGTGGGTTTGAACCACCAATGTTTTGATTAGCAGCTGAGCACTTAACAGTTGCACCACAAGGGCTCTTTCCCTAGAAATTAATAACCTCTAAATTTATATTTGCATTCCAGATCCCTTTTGAACTTTGGGAGGTACATTTCCTAAATGCTACTGAACATTCTCACTTAGCTGTCCTACAGAGCTCTTCAAATCAACATTGCCGTAGACCAGGTTTTCTCAACCTCTGCACTATTGACATTTTGGGTCAGATAATTCTTTGAGAGGAGGGAGTGTTCTGTGTATTGTAGGTTGTATTGTAGGCAGCATCTCTGGCTTCCACCTACTAGATGCTATTAGTTGTGACAACGAAAAATGTCTCCAGACATTGCCAGCTGTCCCTGGGGTGGGGACAAAGTCACCCTGGTTGAGAGCCACTGCCCTAAATTAAACTTATCTTCTTCCCTTTCCACATTTGATTCTCCTCCCCGCCCCCCGCATCTTAGTAAATGGTACCACCATATTCTAGAAACGTGTCATCCTAGACTCCTCCATCTTAATTCTCTCTTCCTCTTCAGCCACATCTGATCAGTCTCCAAGTCCTGTCAACTTTACTTCCTAAAAATATCTTGAATGTATCCGCTTCTCTCTATTTCCACCACCACCACTACTCTAATCCAAACTATCATCTTCTCTTGTCTAGACTACTGCAGTAGCTTCCAAACTGGTCTCACTGATTCCAGCCTCCCCCTCACCCAGTGTTTCTCCACATAGCAGCCAGAGTGATCCTTAAAATGCAGATAAGATCATGCCACTCTTTTGCTTAAAATTCTGCAGTAGTTGCCCAGTAGCTTTTAGAATAAAGTTTAAATTCCTTACCTGTGCACATAAGGACTTTCCTGATAAGGTCCCTAGCCTAAATATCTGCTATTTCCTTGCTTGCTTTCCTCTTTTCATTCATATCAAGCTACTAAGAGTTACTCTGCCATGCTCTCGCATGCCTGCCTGAGGCTGTCCCCTCTGTCTAGAATGCCTTCACTTCACTTCTTTGCCCGGCTTGTACTCATTCTCTAGGATTCAGTAAAAGCATCGGATCCTCTAGGAAACCTTATCTGACTCCTCAGTCTGATTAGGGATTCCCCTCTCGATGCGTATCTCCTGTTGTAGCACTTGTTGCACTGTATTGTGTTGCTGTTTGTTGGTGGTGTTTCCTACACTGGACTGTGCAGGTAGTGTCTGTGTATTATTTATTTCACTTTGTACCCGTGCACATAGTGGGTACTCATCAAATGTTTGGTTAATGAATATCCCTTGGTGGTGCAAACGGTTAACACAAAAGGTTGGCAGTTCAAACCCACTCAAAGGCACTTCAGAAGAAAAGTCTGGCAGTCTACTTCGGAAAGATCACAGCCATTGAAAACCCCGACCTTATGGAGTACAATTCTGCTCTGACACATTTGGGGTCACCATGAGTCAAGGTCGACTCAGTGACAACTGGTGGTTGGTGTACCATTGTTTGCCCAAGTTTCTAGCCCTTCCAGCATCTGTTGGACAAATTTCTACCCTTTACGTCTATCCAAATGAATTCCTCCTCCCTGCAAAATTTGTGCTGGACCTAAAATCTAATCCAGTACGTACTCAAATACAGGCCAGATGCCACTTGTAATAATAATAGTACCTTACATTTATATGACAGTGAGCTGTTCTCAAGGAGCCTTGGTGGTACAGTGGTTAACCGAAAGATTGGTGGTTCAAACCCACCAGCTGCTCCATGGGAGAAAAATGTGGCAGTCTGCTTCTTTAAAGATTACAGCCTTGGAAACCCTATGGGACAGTTCTACTCTGTCCTGTAGGGTCACTATGAGTCAGAATTGACTTGACAGCAACGGGGCTATTCTGTTTTTTTATGCTTCATGTTCCTTTCCTGTTGTTGGTACTGACCTTCCATTCCATTAAAAAAAACAAACCAAACCCATTGCTCTCGAGTTGATTCCGACTCATAGCCATCCTGTAGACCCTATAGGACAGAGTAGAACTGCCCCATGGGTTTCGAAGGAGCGGCTGGTGGATTTGAACTGCCAATCTGTTGGCTAGCAGCCAAGCTCTTAACCACTGCGCCACCAGGGCTCCTGCATTCCATTAAGAGGTAGGATAACCCTAGTCTATCCTTGTTCGAGGTTTAAACATCTGCTTTTGAGGCTTGGATCAAAATGTGGGAATTTCATGGGAGCTGTTCAGCCAGAGCACCAAGACCCAAGAAACACTGCTTTAAAAAAATTTATTTTTATCAAAGAAATACAAGTACATAGTTTTAGAAGTCAAATAATACTAAAAGGTTAGTAAGGAAAAATGATAGTCCTTTGCTTCACCTCTCTTTGTTCTTGAGTCTTGCTCCCCAGAAACAGCAGCAATTGTTTTAGCAATTTCTTCTAGTGTTCCGTATTTCTAGATAATACATTATTCTGCTGTATCTCGACTTACCAAATTAACATATTTTTCTTGACTTCCAGTTATAGTATATGAGAATTGATCTCTCTTCTTTTCTCTCCCCTCCCAAACTACTCCTCTCAATATCTTTATAACACAAATTTGGTTAAATTAATATTTAGTGTTTATAATATTTTGACTTTATAAATATTCACTGCTGAGCACAGTAGATGTATTAAGATTTTGTTTCCTTTATTGTACAAATATTTTCTTTCATTTTTTATTATGGAAAATTCTAAACATACAAAAGTAGAGAGAATGGTATAATGAACCCCACGTACCCATTACCCAGATTCAACAGCTATCAACACATGGCCAATG